TTTTCATAAAAAAATACTTAGGGATCGAAATATGAAAGTGGGCCATTTATTACGGACCACCCGTTAAAACATTATTCCAGATAACGTATTCATTGCAATCTAATCTAATCGGCGCATGAGTGCAGACGATACACAACAGAGAACAATCTAAAAAGTCTCTCTTCTTGTTATGAATGTAGAAAAGAAAATGTATAAATACACCCATTATGAATCAAATATATAATTCTATATTTTAATAGCAAATTCTGATAATCCTTTGAAGATATTGTAATAAAATGCTGCATGATGTCTAAGAAGATTTAGTTTATTTCTGAAAGCAGAAAAATTTTCGTATAATTATGTCATTTTTTCAAGCAAAACATTTTATTTCAATTTAAAAAGAAAAATAAAAGTTTATTGAATATCGACTAACAGATAAGATTTTACCAAAATCACGATTTCAATAAACACAAGAAATATCTTACTATCCACTTGATGATGAATATGTTGGACAAACACATACACATTGATTGGCAAAACTACTAACCAAGTCACAAGAAACGCATATATGCGCAGATATAGTAGGATTTCCTCCAACAGCAATCGATGAACACCCAGCATTGACCATAGATCCTTCAAGTACTGTTTCTATAATAAGAAAAGCAAGTATTTTTGTATATTTCAAAAATAAATAATATAGTTTTTAACTAACGTCCATCTATACGTGCTCGAGCTCGAATAAATCCTGTTGTTTCATCTCTCACATACCAAAGCTGTTGATTATCAAAAAAATCATCATTAAGTCTTATCTGTGTATTAGTTGGACATCCTTCTGAACAATCTTTTACCGAGCCAAATGTTGCAGGTATTATATCACATGTATCATTGTTTAGAAGACCAATTGAGCCTTTTCTAGCCATATAGCTTCCGTTGATATATTGTTCATTCAATCGATTTTCTTCATCTATTCGAACTTTATCAGCTGCTGCAGTACGAGCTTGAATGATTTTTCTTAAATTGTTACGTACATTCGGATCGATTTCAATAACATCCGACCAGGGTATATATTCTTCAATTTTCAACAAAGCCGGATTAGCAGCTAATGTTTGTTGCCAAAGTATTTCATTCTTCTCAATAGGATCACCACCAAGCCAATGATCAACAGAAATTTTTCGACGATCAGCATAAAAACTATTACCAAGTGTTTCAGAAAGAATATCTTTTTTAAGATAATCATCTAAATTATCTGATGTTATTGCACCATTAAATGAAAATACACAATCTTTAAATAGAACTTGTTGTTCATGCATTCCACCTATATTAATTAAAGTAAATCTATTATGAAAATCTGTAATTTTTTTAGATTTTGTAACTTACCAATAAGAGATTGTTGCACTATATGTGTACCCCAATTTCGTAAAAAATCCCTGTATAAAGTTTCATCATATTTAATTGGTAATTTTGATATAGCTTGTTTGACATATTTATTTAATTGAAGATTTTCAACACGTAATCGATATAAAACAGTTGGTTTTTGTGTAATAGCTGTTCCTTGATTATTTGAAAAAAATCTTCTATAAATATCCCCTAATGATTTTGAATGACCAAATTCTCCACCTAACCAACTTCCTCGTAATTTTTTATATTTCCATTCATTTGATAATTCAGTAGCTGTAAGAAAAACACGAGCAATAGGTGTATTATCACTCTGGTTAATTGCAGGAAGAGATACTCCACGAGGAACTTGATATGTTGTATTTAAAATCGGATCAGTCCAATAGCTGTTTCCAAGATAGGTATACTCCAAAGCAGGAAGAAGTAGTGTACCTGTTGTTATGTCAAGAGTCATACCAACACCAATCGGTAACTAAAACATACACAAATAAATTTTGATTTCAATTATTATGTACCCTTGAAATGTAAATATATACTTTAGTTGCATTTTCTGCTACTAGATCTCGTTCTGTTGCTTTTCTTCCAAGACATTCCGTTCCATTATATCCAATATAAGGGCATAAAACACGCTTCGCTTCTTCGTAATTTGTTGCTCGTTTCTGACGTTTTGTACGAATTTCATTTTGACTACATTTATTTTTCGGTGGACCTCGTAGACTTTCTAATTGATTGATATAGTTACGATCTTCTTTTTCAGCTAGTTTTAAAACATAATTAATTGCTGCTTTAAGTACATTACGTAGATCACTTTCTGGTAGAATTTCATCTAATGATATAAGACGATAAGAAATAGGATGAGGTTTTCTTTTTATTGTAGGAGCCCATTTTTCCCATTCAGATGGATCAATCGAGACAGTACCACCTAATAATTGAGCTGAAGATATAGAATGTTGTCGAAAACGTTCAGCAATTTGTTGTCTATAATCGTTGCTGTTTTCAGCAGATGTTACGAATATAAACCAACTTTTTGTTACTTGTTCATCAATCCATGTTTGTGTATGTTCATAAGTTAAACATTTTTCATACCATGTTTCTGCCCAAACTTGACCACCCATGTTTGATGATACAACAACATGTGTTCCAAATATATCAAAAAAATCTTGCCAAATTTTTAAATCTTTTACATCAAAACGTGTTGGTAAATTATCAAAAGCTGTTTGAGCTATAGGATTTAATTTTGGATATGGAAATGCTGACACTGATAATGTATACCAACCAATTTGTTTCATTCGAAGTACTAAATTATAATAATCTTGATAGAAACGACGATAAAAATCCGTTACTGTTCTTTCAGTACGTTTTCGACGAATACCTAACCAACCACTTGACTCTGTAACAGTAACTGTTCTTGTCGAACGAAAATAATCTTCAACAGATGTTACTAAAATTGAACCATCAAATGTTAATGATTCAGGAGTATTAACAACAAACCATCCATTAGGTATTGAATAAGTTAAAGTTTTATTATATGGATCTGACCATTGTTCATTGTCAGTGAAATTACTGTGATCAAAAATACAAAATTTACTTTCCATTAAAAGAGGATCATATCCACAACCAACAGCATCAAGTCCATTTATAGGACCTTGAGGTTTTGGTGGTACTAAAGACTTACGACGTGTACCTCGATCATTCAATTCAGCTAATGTTGGAAATACTCCGCTCTCTAAATAAAAGTCAATTGTTTTACGTAAATGTTGTCGAACTGTTGTTTCCTTTTTGATTAAATTATAAATAGGAAATAATGTTCTATTAACTATAACTGGATGATTACCAGCTGTTTGCTGCCATGTTCTATAAAGAATATATTTATTATAGATTATATCGATTCTATTTAAAACTTACTCCCAATCTGATTTATTTTGTTGACTTGCTACTGGAGGTTGAAAAACAGATAATGTAGATGAAGTAGTCCTAAATTTTTCTTTCATTGAGGCCCAAATTTGTTCTATGTTGATTCCATTTTCAAGACCAACTTTTTGATATCGAAACATTAAACCAACTTGATTTATTCTTTCTTCATATGAAGACTCTTTATAATAACTGGAGTCCATTAATGTATATAAATGAGCTGTACCACCAACAATTATACGAGAAATATAATGGGTTCCATATGTTTGAATAAATTGATTATAATATTCTTGATGATCTTCAGTAGACGGATTCGGTGCCTCAGAAACTAATAAACCAACACTTTGATTGAACGTTGGATCTAATCTAACAAAAAAAAACATACAACTTTAATTTAAGTAATAATTATCTCATGTACAAAACATTTTACTTAAGAGAAAGAGGAGGAGCAAGTTGAACTGAATAAAGACCCCACCATATTGTTGATACTCCTACAGCTTTTTCATTTTTTGTCATGACGTCGTGAATTTGTTTCAATATTCCACTATAACCTAATACAACATTAATGGAACTAGGAATACTGAATCGAATTCCAAATGTTATCGAGTGAAAGTAACTAAACAATACAAAAAAAATTCTTAGCGCAAACCTTGTATGATTTAAATAATCACTCTTTTGCTTAATCCTTCAAAAATCCCATAATGAAGTACGTCATATACGAGAATGAGATGTTATTGACACACGTTCACTCGTCGTATATCGACAATGTCTGTGCGAACGAAGAGTGAATAAATATAGACAAGAATGATACTGGAACTGTCGCCAATATCGACATTTTTTGATTAATAATGATATCTTTTATGGTTTTGTAAGATTTACGTCATATATCACATTCGCGACTTATATGTGCTAAAGGTGTATGTGAAAATAACTGACGATGGAAGGTTTCCAAATTTTCAATCGCTTTTAAATCGAAATTTTTAAGATATCTTTTTAGTTCAATCTCACGTTCGCCCTCAGGGACATCAGAAAAGCTGAGTTTCGAATTTCGACTTGAAACTTTGCACAAACATAGATTCCGACGAAAATAGTGTATTTTGAAAGTTTCAGGCTTTCCGATTATTCCTATATGAAAATAAGAACATCGAAATTTGATGGTATAAGAGCGATGTAAACAGCATGTAATGATTACGGCAACATCTTAGGACAGGAACAACAAAAAAGACCTGAAAATTTTCTAATGAACTATGCTCGCTGAGACCTACGTCTATGCAAATTTTCAAGTTGAAATTCGAAACTCGATTTTTCTGATGTCCCTGAGGGCAACCACGGGATTGAGCTAAAAAAGATATCTTAAAAATGCATTTTCTCAGCAGCAGTAAGCTATTAGCCCGAATTATTTTTAGAATATTCATAGCTCATTAGGATCTATATGATGCACATAGTTTCTGCTTCAAAAGCAATTGATCACTTGGAGACCTTCCCTCGTGAGTAACGATCACTTCAATATTTACTATATTGAATGTGGTGACATTACTAGAGAATAATATCGGATTTTTCACTATTACATATGTTACAAAGCGTAAAACCAGAACCAAACATTTTTCTTTGCCTGAGATCGGAATCAATAACGGTTAGCCTCACTGATGACTATGATTAAGTTCAAATTCTACTTCTATATTTCAATATCCTTTTAGATTGTGTTTCAAAAAAAACAACATTACAATCTATTAATAAAATAGTTTACCTTTGAAAAAATGATTCAAATGTATAAGCAATTGTTTCACAAGAATCTACTTTTCGAAGACTAATATCAGCTACCTGAACGTCTTTAGGTATTGCAAAAGTTCGATCTTTTCCCTGTATTTCGGTTTTGAATGGAGTTGCCCTTTGTTCACTCAAATCAAAAATACGATATTTTGAATTTTGTTCATTTGCAGAAAGCATTTTAGCTGCATCATAACCAGATGATATATCACTAAGACCAGGTAATTCATCAATACAGTAACTATTCGTAATGAGAAGCAAAAGAATATTGAAAATAAACATCTAAAAGCAGAAACTATACATAATTATTTTATTTTTCAAAATATTGCTATGACTATTTAGTAAACTTAAATAGTATAGGCATATATTTTGATCTTTAATGTATCAACTTAAAATGAATCAATAAACATAACATGAAGTAACAGATGTAACTGTATTACATGTACGTGTATACCAATAAAATTTAGCTTGAGTTTGACAGAAATTATGTTTTCCCAAAACAGATAATTGAAGATTTTCTAGAACTATACAATTGGTTGCTTTTTTCAAACTTGTTTTCATACCCATTATCATTGTTTCATTAACATATTGACCAACGAAAATTTGTCTATCATCATTACTTTCGTATATCCATTGTACATCATAACCTGTCTGAATAATGTCCATAAAAAGATTGCTACTATTCCATTGGTATCGACCAGTCAAATTGAATTGTGGACTCCAATCAGTTGGTTTCAATTCACATTTATTTGTTTTAGAATAATAATAACGATTCAGAGGACAGTTTTGTTGATAAGCACACCCTTTTGAACAGCTATAGTAAACTGCTTTGTTCCATTCATGTGGATACGCTCCATTCTTTATTGGACAGACAAAACCCATGCTGGAAGCAATCGAACAAATTAAAAATAATATTGATAATTGAATCTTCATTGTTATCTGAAAGAGAAACTGTATCTATTTACATATCCTTGAATAAAAAGAAACAAATTTAAATCTTATTTACCTTGATTTAGAATTGAAAAATTAAGAAAATAAAGCTAAAAGAATGCAAACAAATGAACAATATCTATAACGATGATAAATAAGATCAATTTTTAAAAAAATTATTAATACTTGGAAAAAAGAAAAGAAGCGATACTGTTTTTTTTCGAATATTTGCTATAGGAATGAATATTAATAACGTATACAACCAGAAAAAACATAGCCAGGAGGCAATTTACATTTCATGGAATAGGGATTTGCTACATTTGTTGCACAAAATGATCTTGTTGTTCGTACTGATAATTGTACATCTCTTACAAGAACGCATTTAGTGTTAAATGATAAAATTGTTTCAGTTCCGACAACGTATGTTTCATTGATATATCGACCCATAAAGTAAAATTGATAAGCCGATGTTACACTTGACCAATTTACAAAAAAATTCGATTGTTGAAAATGTCTGTATTGAGCATATTGTTTTATTTCTTGAGTTCCAGTTAGATCGTGTGCTGGTGACCAATTTAATCCAGTACTTCTACAAGTTCGATCAACAGTTGAATAATATTCCGTTGTTTGTGAACAATATTCAAGACGATCACAATAATTTGTACACGAATAATAAGATCTGTAATCATCAGCGTTTTGAAACGTTCCAGTTCCCTGTGCACAATTATAAGAACTTTCAATAACGTTTATGGTTGTAACGAGTAAAATTAGAGTTTTTATCATATTTTCTTGTTGAATTTGAGACAGTGCCTTCATCAGTTCGTATATATATATAGTCCTTTTTTTCTAGGACTCATTTTCTTTTCCTAGCAAGTGACATATTATGCTTCAATGCATCATTTTCTTTATGACAAATATGAAAAATTTCATGTAAATAGCTAGAAGAACTTCATCATGATTAAATTCATTTTGTTTGAATGATTGTTTCTTTTTCTATAACTATGCAAATAGAATTAACATGTTAAAGTTGGTGTAAAGTTTTCCAGCATAAATACACTTTTCTTTCGCAAAAAAACAATATCAGTTTCTTTTTGCTTTTACATTTCAATTTTATTTACCTCTTATTACTTACGCATAAGTCTTTTCATTCTTATGATTATGACCCCAAAAAAAAATATAATCGATTATGCATCCATGGATTAAGAACTATACTAATGTTCATTTAACATATGTTGCATATATGTTGCATACCAGGTTTCTTTTACAAATCGATCTTTTTCAAAAGAACAATCAAGCGGAATCCAAGCACCCCCGTCATGCAGTAAATATTTGTTATTACAAGATCGGGAGTACATTCGAAATTCGAGAGAGCAATCGTCAGAGATGTGCGAGTTGTCAGTATGGGTATGAGGGTGTGGGGTGTGGGTGCGGGTGTGGGTGTGGGGTGTGGGTGTGGGAGTGGGTGTGGGTGTGTGGTGTGGGTGTGGGTGTGTGGTGTGGGTGTGGGGTGTGTGGGTGTGGGGTGTGTGGGTGTGGGTGTGGTAGTGGCGATAGCTCTTTTCATAATCCACACCCACACCTACACCCACCCACACCCCACACCCCACACCCACCCACACCCCACACCCCACACCCACCCATACCCTCACCCATCCCTTCTTCTTCAATTAGAAATCTCAAATGACGTTGTCGTTCTTGTGGGTGTGTGGGTGTTGGTGTGTGGGTGTTGGTGTGTGGGTGTGTGGGTGTGGGTGTGAGTATTCCCATCATTCAGATTGATACCCACACCCACACCGACACATTTATAATAATATTGGTCTAACGCATTATGAAATGAATAATTATTCAAAGGCAATTTCATTTTATAAAGAAGCACGTACGATTTGTGAACGAAATCTTCCCCATGAAGAATCTTAATTAGCCACTACTTACAATAATATGACTGTCGCATACAATGCCCTGAATGATCTATCGAATGCGTTGTCATTTTATAAAGAGACATTTTCTCTTCGTGAGAAGAACTCCACTACGAATGATTTACTATTGGCAAATGTTTATAACAGTATCGGATCAATATATCATTCAATGAAAAACTATCAGGAAGCTATTAGTTATTATTAGAAAGCAATGATAATTTAACAAAGTAAATTACCAAAAAATGACTTATCATTATCAATCACGTATAACAACATTGCTGTTGCCTATAAATCCATGGGAGATGATGATAATGCTTTTGTATTATATGAAAAAGTATGATCTACTCGAGAAAATAATCAATCTGCCGTTAACTTATCTTTTTCAGTAATCTATAAAAGTATGGCATCCAACTATCATTCAGAGAAGAACTATTCGGTTGCTGTGAACTTTAATCAGCAAGGGATGGAAATCGAGGAGAAAACACTTGCTCCAGATGATACAAATTTAACAACGACATACAATAATATTGCTGTCACTTATCATTCTATGGGCGACAAAACACATGCTCTATCATTTTATGAAAAGACATTAGCGATTAGAGAAAAAATACTCTCTATCAAAGATCCATCATTTGTTTCAACGTACAATAGTATTGGCTTTCTTTGTTCATCTATGGGGAGGAAATCAGATGTTGTTAATTATATTGAGAAATCACTTAATGTTCAAGAAAAATTATCAAATCCTAATCGTCCATTGATGCTTAAGATTCATCTGACTACAGCAAGAATGTATGAAGATCTTAAAGATAATGATGCAGCTCTTAAACATGCAGAGCATTCTCTCACTATCGCACGTTCGATTTTTGACCCTAGTGATATAAACGTAAAATATATTCAAGATTACGTTAACTTACTGCATTCGACCTTATCCTCATGATTGATTGACACTTGTTTTACATAAGAGTACAAGAGTTATTCATTGATCAGTTTTTTGTTGTCTATCTTCTATAAACTTTTGAAAACATCAACATTTTCGCCTACGAATGATATTATACAATTAAATTCAATAAAAGTTCAATTTCTATTACATTTGAATATAATATTATTCAAGTTCATGTTCATCGACTATTATAATTTGAAATGATAACAGAATGCCAATCAGGATTTTATTATGATGAAATATCTTTGAAATGAATAGTTGAAAACATATTGAATCAGTTCCATATACGTATTGTATATACTCGTATGCTCGACCAATTGTCAACATTATACTTTTTCGAGAAAGCCTGTTATCAACGTGTCATAAGATCTTGATTAGGTATCTTGTTGAGAGCTGCTTTAATGCATAAATACTGATCAGATACCTGTCATGCTGCTATAGTATTCTATGAAACATTTGTGTGACATTGTAATAGCAAGGTACATTGGATGCGGTGCATTCAATAGCGATTTTTTCTCAATATTTCTATTGTTCAGTGTAAAAAAGATTTTCTTTCAACACCTTTTTATCAACGAGAAATATGCATCAACATTCTGTACTATGACTTTTGCATCATACATTATTTGCTTCAATATCCGATTTTGTTCATGTGATAATTTCTTATTGATATTTGAATTCACTAAACATTAAATGCTATACTGGATTGAAACAATCTTTATCCAGCTAAGATCAATATCTTCAATATTGTTGATTCGATCATTTCATGAGAACACATGCAATCGAACATAACGATTGCAACGAACTGTAGCAAACATGGGTTTAATGCACAATCAAAGCTGATTTTTTTCATGTGGCGTTCATGATGACAAACATTTCCCATCAGGTAGAAAATAGAAATTATAGTAAAGCTCTGAAAAAAATGTGGCTTTAGTAGTTGTAAATTAGTCCAATAATTTAATCGAATCAATCCTATTGAGTTAAACTGGCATGTTCATCTAACCGAGCAGAGTTTTTTTGGAGAGTGTTGGTGGGTCTTGTTTTATCTCTATTCGCATTTACATCCACACCTCACCCGTGACCAACGGTCTCCAGACTCATCACAGTTCATGAAAGATATTTTGATATATGATTACTGATTAAATATCATTGGACTCTGATGAAGATACAGCAGCTGCTTCTTCATTACAGTGCGACCAATTGAATAAGAAATGATGAATAAACGGGTTCCAAGATATATCAAATAGAACAATATTCGTGTGACCATTAGCAGTAGCTACATCGTATTTGATATTTTAATCCTGCAGGGATTTTGCTAATAGCTGTTGTTATTCTATCTCGTTCCAAGACTTTTGTTGCGTATTAATGTTTTAAAAGCATGAAAAAGTTTAGAAATCAAGTTTTAACCTTAAAGGATTTGTATAAAACATGATCATAGAATGGTGTTGCTGAAGAACTACAAGAAGATTACAATGTTTGGCGGTAAAACACGAGAAAAACACCTAAAAATGAGGAAAAATGACTATAACATAAGGACTAAAAGAGCTGAAACACAAAACAGCAGCCATTACCATTTTAAAACATGTTATTTCCATCAACTTTGTATTGCATGAGACTCAAGTCCGAATTATATTTACCAATTTTTCCCAAATAGGACTCATTTGACAATATGAGGAAACTTTGGTTTTCAACTGTCGGCATATGCTATTTTATTAGTAAGTTCATCTCAAAATCTGTAGAGTATTTAAAACCACAGATCGATCATATGGAGAGTAGCACATGATTCACATCCGATTCATACCTACCATCACCATCATCACCTAAAAGTTGTATTATAAGCTATTTTAGTCAAAAGGTATGTGGTCCCTTTTTTTCTGATTATAGACCTTTTTATTTGCAATTGGTAAGCATCAATATCAATTGGATGAAACATGTAAAAGCTTTAAGAATAGTGCCATGATATTAGCATTCAATGAAGAATTTTTCAGCGAGTATGTCATGATAATCTTTTTTCGCATTTCTGTATATGACCTACAAGTCAATAAAAATCAGAGCTAGATAAGCCACTCACACTGTTTTATTCCTTCTTTTAGTTCTTTTGGGTGTGGATATGCATATGGACTAACGAAAGGTATGCACCGACATCAATACTCACACCCATATCTAAGATAAAAGAATTCTGAACAATAAACCATTATTTAAGGTAAAAAAAAATAGACAGTAGTTTTAAAAATATTTTACAGACAGATCCTAGGCATTCAGTCTAGGAATAAGTCGAAATTCTTAGTCTTTTGTCGACATTGCTGAATTATCATAAGCATCATTCATTGTTGTTTTTATTACAACACCCGATGGAAATATACGCCTTGTATCTGTACCAAATGTTTGCTGAACTTTATTAGTATAAAGTGCATTACAGCCTTCTGGTGATGTTAATTCAATATTATTCTGAACCTTTAACAAATAAAAAAGAAAAACAATTGATTTCATAGTCGTATTTGATTGATAAACAAACTTTTTTTTCCACATAAGCATCATCTGTAAAACCACATCGAAGCCAATCACGTATACGTTTAGGTACAGAAAAGCAGCATATATCACTAATAGATATTATTAATTTTGGATCGCTTTCATTTGGTTTAACTGGACGAGTTAAATAAGATACAATCATTCCAACAATTACAACAGCACTAACAACTATTGGTGAATACCACAGATAACTAATAGAATAAAAATCAAGTAATGGATTTGATCTAAACAAAGATAAAGTTATAATTATATTTTAAGATTTCTTTTTCAGTAATCTGACTTGATTGGAATTGTTATTGATTTTGTAATATTAACTGGTACAGGACAATTAGTAATTGATAATGGTAAACGTTTACTTTTCATTTGTTTTTTAGTCAGTTGTGCTCCCACAACAATCCATAATTGTAAACAAAGACTTGATAAAAAACCAATAAAACTACCACGACTATTTGCTTTTGGAAAAAAGAAACCAAGAATAAAAATACCCATGATTGGACCAGATAAAACACCAAATAATGATAGTACAGCATTAAGCAGTGGCTGGCCGGACACCGCTCTTTTGGCGCTATATGAGCTGGTAACCGTGTGACAATTGCCACACGGTTACCAGCTCATATGGCGCCACTTGGCTCGCCAATGGCATTAAGTATGGATCCGAGATAACTCACAATATATGTTAATAACATCACTACACTTCCAAATACAATCGAAAAGATTTTTGATAAAAAACCTTGTCGTTCGTCACTTAATGCTTGTCCTATTCAGTTAGTTTTTTGCTATTTCACGTAATTTATCGAATGAATCAATTAATACTTGATAATCAATACTTACTATTGATGTACTCATACCCTTAAAATCACGAAAAAACATGGTAATTAATCACGATATAACGTAATGATAATCGTGAGTTGAAACGCGATAAATTGCAAATTTATTCCAATGATTCTGACGATATTTGTGATAGATCGTGGTATCATGGGCTATTATTATCATCCTTCACTATATCGGTGACAAAAGTGATTTTATTCATGTAAACTTGATCTCTACAGTTACACTAATAAGTTCCTCTTACTAATTTATATTAACGGATATTTTTATTAAAAACTTGAGAGTTGGCATTATTCTTCAGGAATAAAAAAAAATGTAATAAAGATGAAAAAAAACCACGACAGTACGCAGTTTTTCATAATCAAATAAAAACAGAATCGAATAAGAAACAAAAAGTAATAAAAAAAAACGTTCTTGTGTATGAATGGATGCTTTACATTGGGATTTTCTCTGAAATCACTTCGAACAGTCATTTTTTTTTTAAATAAATTTAAAATTTAAAACGAAGAATCAAATGCGAGTGTGGAGGTGTGGAAGGATGTGAAGTGTGGGTATGAGGTGGATATCAATGTGAATGCGGGTATGGCAGATGTTGACGAAAAGAATACTGATATCAGCACTCACACCCACATCTGAGCAATGCTCTCCTGTAAAAATTTCAGAATCACTGAAAGATGGGAAGATTATATCTGTTAGCCGATGAGTTGATCTGTAAAGAACACTTTCCAGTATTTATCATTATTTACTTATAAGTAATCTTCACACTATCTCAAGATCTGTCATTCAATATGCTATCAAAATAATCGATTTTCTACAAATGAATCTTTGAATGAATATGTGATTTTTCAAAATCCATACCTTGATTTTTCGTGAAAAACGTTTTTCGAAATTAATTTTACACAGAAAATAAATATCGAACATATTCTGAAAGAGAAAAGTCTACTCTATAAAGCTCATATATATTTGTTGCAAAACAGTTCTTCTTGGACACGCAAAATGAAACAATCCGACCCATGTGTAGGTATCCGAAAAAGCAAATTATCGTAATTTTCATAACTTCAAAAATCACACTGGAATGAAAAGTAACCAGTTGAAAATGTTTGGAAACTTTCAAAATTTCAGAAATTTTGGCAATCACGGATATTCAAATAATTTTAGAAAACTTATAGAAGTTCTGAAGTAAGACACATAATAAAAAACAAACATTTGAAATTTTCGGAAATTTTATTTGGAAATTTGAACATTCTTGAATAATTCTTGGATATGATAGGTTCCTTTGTATGCATAATATTAAGTATGAAAGAAAAAAACGTAGCCTAGTGACAACCCTTTTCGTTTGCTGTCAGTAACTGTTGAGTGGGGTAATATCCCTCCCCTTGTAAAAATATCTTGGTTACACCACTATTTAGAACAAATTGAAAGGAACTTGGAAAAGAAGTGAAGTCGTTAAGTACTTTTCAGCAGCCAATTATAAAAAGCTCTTCGAGATATTCATGGCGATTAATCTTCATGTTCTCAAAAAGATAGGCAAAGAAGAAATATAAAGAGAAAATGGAAGACACAAGAAGAGGAAAACAGTAATAACTGAGACAAATGTGGACAACCTCTAACAGAGTTTCATGGTCGTCCTCCAGGTGTCGCATGCTTGGCTTCTAGTCAGTGCAGCAAATTCTACCATAATTGATTGAGAAGGTCAGATCAATTGCTTACATAGAACTGCTGCTCAGAAGTACCATTATTTACAAAAATTGATACCACCCGGTTTTAGAGTTTATTTGTACCGTCCTCTTCTCTTTCTTTACTTTGAAATTCAATACAATCAAACATTTACTCAAAAAAAACTCAGTAACTGTAATAAAATCCCTTTGGTATTTGATGATAAGCGTTTTGTTTTTACTTTGCTATACTTACTTCTACTATATTCATGCTGGCTGCATCGTGCGTCTTAGTCTTCTTCTGCACAATAGTGCTTTTTGCATCGTCGAACGGTGATGCAAGTAAGAATAGTTTCTTTTTTTTTACCAAAATAATAAAAGAATAAACAGTAAGTTTATGGGAAAAAACAGAATTTTTTTCTTGAATTGAAGCCTGAGCTGTATCATTGCTGCTCCTAATTAATAAAAAATCCAGTAGTATTTTAAAGGATACTAGATATTGAATTTTTGTATATGAACAGAAAGTATTATCATGCTAAAATTTTCTAGGTATTACGCATACTCAACTGAAAGCTATTATGCCTCGATGTAAACATCCAGACTATTTGAAAAATATCAATACTGCAATGAAAGAAGGCTCCATTAATACTTGTGCTCGAAAAGCAGCTTTTCTCGCCCAAATAGCACATGAAAGTGCTGAATTGGTCTATATGGAAGAATTGGCTTCTGGTCAAGCATATGAAGGTCGAAAAGATCTTGGCAATACTCAAAAAGGAGATGGAAAACGATTTAAAGGTCGTGGTCCCATTCAACTGACAGGTCGAGCTAACTACAGAGCAGCTGGAAAAGCTTTAGGCTTGGATTTGATGAATCATCCTGAAAGGGTCAAAACGCCTGAAGTCGGATTTCGAACGAGTGTATGGTTTTGGACAACACACAAATTGAATAAACTGGCAGATAAGAATACACTCACGTCATTTCGAATGATCACTAAAAGAATCAATGGAGGTACGACCGGACAAGCTGATCGAGAAAAGTATTGGAATAGAGCCAAAAAAACGCTTGGATGTTGACTAAAAGAAAAAAAAGCGATAACTCGTTAATAATAAAATATTATTGACGCAAATAGTATCAAACCCAGCACATATGATGGTCTCAAAGAAATAACTATAAAACGTGGCGCAAATTTACTCGAGTAGTGGCTAGAATTTTTTTGTTTTTTCTAGTTACTTTGCATCTCTTCACGCCTCATATTTCAATATCCGACAATATGTGATTGCAAAATAGTCTAAATTCAATTGAACGATGATTTGTTAGTTTGCATAAATTATATTCGTGGTGAAACAAGAAAGAAAAAGAATTATAACTCGAAACTTTGCGTACTTGAGTTTCTTGTCACTTTTTAAGTGTACAATGCATCTAATTTTCAGAAGACACATTTGATATTTCTCTTGAGACACTCAATAGTACAACGCATATCGTACAGGTAAACGATGTTGATCCACAGAATTTGACAATTGTGGAAGATGCAGTGCAGATCGAATCGTTTGCATTATACAAGGAGCCAACAGCTTGTCATCATTTGATAAATGTAATTAGTTTTATTTTCCTCCATGAATATTTATCATTAGGATCACTAAGTTCAGTCTACAAGATATAAATAAGCAATCATTGAAGAAGTTTCAATACATTTATTTAAATGTCACGTACTTCTTTTATGCTTTATTCAAGCAGTGCATGTTCTTCAAGGTCTAATAAAATAAAATTTATGAAGTTAGAACACTTCAGATACAAAGACTAATACATAAGAGTGCTTTCATATGTTAAATAGGTACACTTTCTCTATTAATTCTAGCACAATATGTAACGTTATACAGATTGATTAGCGAACTGTTACAGAGAGAATTTTCAAAACATATACCAGATCGAATGTTTTGGCAGACAAAGCAATCGACTGAGATAATTGGTGCTGAAAACTGTGATATTTTTCTAATTTGTTTGCCACATATATATGCAAACGACGCTGGCGAGTATTTTATTCTTGGTAGGTTTCGCCATTGAGCATTGGACGACGCCTATCCTCTATCAATCTACCATCTTATCTTAAATTGACACTAGTACAGAAGATATTCTACTCTTCAATCCTTTTCTTTCGGTATTTTGCCCTTTTGATCTTTTAATAATTTACTCAATGAATCGCATAATGGCTTCCGTATTCCTTCCGCTCATTGTTCTATAAAACATGTTTTGCGTTACACGACAGCAAAAGCAGATGCCATACCATTTACTGTCGAATACCAATTACAGTGAGCAAAGAAGTAAAATAAAAGTTACGACCTCTTTTCATTAATTGACAAAAAATATCGATGTAAACATGTATCAACACCATCAAAGAACCAATACCAGGTAGACAATCCTCTATTACATTGTGTCACGCAGAGTGGGTGTGAGTGTAAGTATTAAATGATGAAGATTCATACTCACACCTGTCAGTAGTGGTAGCGTAAAGATAAATATTCTTGCTTTTTATTTAAAATCTATCTAGTCTTGAATTCGAAAATATATGTTTTAAAATATTCTATAGATTATTATTCATATGCATATTATTAGCGTTCACATGTTCTCTGTTCAGATGATTTTGTAGCTATTCTTGATTACGGCTGGTTTATTTGATTCTGTACAACTGACGATTGTCACTATCGTACTGGCATCATTTTATACAGTTGTATCGGTAATTCTGTTGCATCACTTCTAATATCTATATGTACAGTTATTTACTACAAACACTATAAAGATTGACTATATGAAGAATATAAAATCTTTTTTAATTTGATATATCAAAATATCATGGACCTGATCATTTTTCACTTCCATTCGATCCACAATCGATGAAAGTAACAGAATCAGGATTAGATGATGTTGGTATATTTACAATCGATGGAATTCACTCGTTTGAAACAAATCGAATAGGTTTGACAAAAACATAACCAATTGGATACAGGCGATCGATCGAAAAACTTAGGTCATCAAGTCACAATTCAATTGACATAGAATTCAGATAGTTATCAGTATAAAGACAAATGATACCTATAAACGGATTAATACCATGGTTAAAAAAATTTGAGATCAAACTGAGCAGGCAACAACAGCTATCAATGTACGATGAAGTATAAAGAAATTTGCAGATAATTTGATTGTGTTTATTTTTACTTTAGAAAGCTTTGAAATTTCATAAACTTATTCAAGACATAAATGGCAATATGACAAGTGAATCCAATCAACTAAACTTGTGGAAAGACATAGCATTTCAAAAAATACTATATTGAATAAATAAGATGCAATATTTTTGTTTACTTTTTTTCCTATCTACTGAGAATATTTATTCTTTTTGAGCAATCTTCTCATAAATGGAAATCACTATAACATATTGTTTTCCGTTTCGAATTATGATTTCAATCATACAATGTATATATGATGTATGAAAATATATCGAAATACATTTATATTGTAATCTGTTTCTGGAAAGTCAATAATAATTTATGTGAGACAGAAAAAAACGATATGTTGACGGCACACGCACTAGATTAGTAGAAATTATTTTATATGGTCATTTTAATAGTTGGTTACTGGAGTAACAAAGATAAAATATGCTTGTTTGAACGAATCATTAATAAGTATATATAAAATCTTAATTTCTTACAAACCGTTTAAAAAACCATGAGCATAATTTAGTTGAATTTTTTGCATTATAATGTGTCAGAGACGAATCATTCTTATTTTCTTCAAATCGTTCAGAAATAATCAGATCAATGAGATAGCACGCTAGTATAATTTTATACTTGAGTTACTATAAGTGACTCATGTAAAAGCATCCTCTACTTAGTTAGACTGTAAATACAAGCTTTATAATACATTATCTAACTAAGAACGAAGCAACTAATTCAATTTGCGTATGTATTATTTTACACTAACTAAATCTTATGCATTAGAAATATGTTGAGACGAAAGTTCTGCAATATGAATTTGCAACGAAATACTCGTCTATGCCAATACACGGACATGCAAAAAAATGATCGAAGAACGAATCACAATCATAAAAATACTCTAAAGCGCTCTCACTGGACGTATCGTGTGACCTTTTGACCGTTTAGAAGTATGGTAACCGCTGCATCATCATGTTTGCCTTTTTTCTCAACTTTTCTACTGTTATTATTCTCTATGAATTATCCTTTTTTTTTATACGTCCACTGTTCTCCTTTTCTCTCTCTCTCCCTCCTACACAAGATTGTGTCCGCTATGAGATAGACAACTAGAGTAGTGCGGCCAATATCTTTACCAACCGTGGAGATAATACTACTCGTCTAGTTTGCCATTTGTATTAAATAAAATATCCATAATTGTATTAACGAAATAGCACCGCATGAATCTATTCGAAAGGATCTTTTAATAAACCCAAACTGTTGTCAATACGAGATGTACATAAATAAATCAGTCTCATCGTACGCAGCGTTCACGATAAGGAGAAGTTACTTTTTCTCTCAATATGACTCCTTGCCATTATTCGCCTAAACTACGTATAACCTCTGTATATTTGCTGAAGTTTTTCTTTAATATTGAAAGAACGTTTTATTTTCTCTGAAGTAGTCATCGACACATCTACAGAGTACACAATATACTACTTGTTCATGTGAACTGTGTTCATAAAAAAGATGCACATTATGTCTTGTATTATTATAGGTCATCTACAAATACTCATATTATTTGGGAATATAAGCTACAAATTAAATTTGTTAACACTATTATGTATATCACTTATCAGGTGCTTCTATTCATTGTCTATTCAACGATTTTGATTGATTGCCAAGGTGGTGGTGGTGGTGGTGGTGGAGGCGGAGGTGCAGGTGCTTTTATCGGCAGAGGTATTATTTTTCTTTTTATTGTGCATTGTCTACCGTTATTACTACAGACATATATTTTTACAATATTTTCGAATTTTTTATTTATATAATTACAATCCATTCCGATATATTATTTATTTCAGGTGGTTTTAGTGGTGGTAACTCTTGTATGACTGATGATTGTAAACGACATGCTAAGATCGTTCGAGATTGTGTTTTGGGCGGTTTTGTTGGATTTTTACTGCTATTGTTCAGTATATATTGGTGCTGCCTACGTCACCAAGGTCGACCACGTCAAGATAATTCAATCTTCATTAACTTAGGGAATCAAAATATCGACCAACAAGAAGCATATACACTTAATCCTTTTCAGTCCGGCATCTGGTCTAGTCGATATTTTCAATATGCAACATGGCATGGACCTTATCATTTTCCACTTTCATTCGATTCACTATCGATGAAAGTAACAGGATCAGGATCAGATGATGTTGGCGTATTTACAATCGATGGAATTTATTCGTTCGACACAAATCGAATAGGTTTGACAAAAACATATCAATTAGATACAGGCGATCGATCCGAAAACTTAGGTCATCAAGTCATAATTCAACTAACATGGAATGCTCAAAATCGTCACTTCAATGGCAAATGGTATGTCAGAACGAGTCGATATATCGGCCAAGGTGCGTTTGAGCTCAAGTTCAAGCAACAACAATAGTTCTCAATGTATGAGAATGTATGACAATAAAAAATACACTACGTAGTTTTTTCTCAAAATCCTATCAGTTTTCACTATTCTTTTGTGCCATTTTTCTATTGAGATTAAGTAGTAAAACATGTATTTATATTTGGTTTTACATATGTATACACTTAATCCTTTGTTTCATCAATAAATGTATGATTAATAAATAGAGATGTAAACCGACGGGTCGATTGTCAGCTGAATTTCTCGACATTGAACAATTTTTTAGATGATTAAAAATGTCTATATATTTCAAAAACCTAAATAAAACAATTGTATTTTGGAAGTTAGTGTAATATAGACATTATGTTTAAGTAATTTTGAGATGCCCAATGTATTTCTAAACAACCTTGTCTCCGAAGCTCAGAGGTCCAGTTCTCTTACGAATGGACAAAAGAAATTAATAGATAACAAGATGCTAAAAGATTGTTCGCTTATATGAAACTGTAAACACTACCCCTTTTTCGATTGAGAATGAACTATTATCTATTTCTTCGAATTTTTCTTTTTATAGAAGAAAATTTTGCAATAAATTCATTTAGTATCTAATATGGCCTTTGCTCTTTTGTGCATATGATAACAACTGAATTATCGTTTCTGTACGCTAAATAACTCTCGTAGAGTAAACAGGCTTTCACTGAAATTACAAACACCCATCATAAGAAGCGATAGATTCAGATACAAATAAAACTTGAACCATTGACATTAAATAGAAGTGTTTTGTACTTTTATTATTTCTGCTACAAAGTTCACTATTCCTATATCAGCAGTAGAGGCAGCTGAAACTTTGTAAAAAATTTTCCTAGTAACGGCTGCGGCTAACACCTCTATTAATAAATCAAATATAGATCAAATGTAAAAATGCGATTCTATATTATATACTTCGAATGATGTCTAAAGTCTAACTGAGATACAAGAAGTATAAGAAAATGTGTAAGACACTAATAACATAGAAGGATGCTTGGAGAAAATGCTCAATGACGCTTTTCTACATAATAATTATTATTTTTTGACACGATGATGACAAAAGCTAAAAATTGTGAATAATTATACCTATACAAATTGAATATCCCGAATACGAATATATTTGTTGCCCTTGTTTAGGTTTCAAAAAAAGAGAAGCAAAAAAGGTTTCGACTTCAGACATTATTCTACTAATATATACAGTATATCATAATGTTTTTCTGTTTTTGCGAATTTGCAATAATAATCATTCTGTTTTCAGAAAAGAGCTGTCGAAAATCACGAAGACTCGCTATGCCTAAGTCAATTCTTTACCAAAAATAGTAGAATCATATTTGCTTTCCATCTAGATGGTCACTTGATTCAACACTTTTTGTTTTCGACCATTTAGTAATAGTTACAAAGTTTTCTATGAAAACAGTTGAATCAAAAATATGCACAAAACATACAGAAAATACCTTAAAATGTTTTTAATTGACTAGTAGAAACAACAAAAAAGCATTTTTCCAACATATCTATCTTTTGTAATGACCATTTTCTTTAGCTAGCCAGTTGTGAGTGCTCTTCCTTGTCTTTAACGTACAAGCTGACGTGACAATTTCTTCTCTACATTATGTTTTCCCTTATGTAATAAATTCCCACACCATCGATAATGTCGCTCGTTGTTTGTATCTCAGGTACTCATGACGTATTTTTTCATAACAAAAAATGACAAAAAAAAGACAACCTTTTTAATTCTTTTCATATGTTGTTTAGTCCTTTAGAGTTAAGCGTCTTACATGTTTTCTAAAAACTAATCTTTCGTTGACATATTCAAATAAAAAGACTTTCCTATGGATTATGTCGTGATATTTGCAACGACTTTATATTGCTCTTTGATGATCACATGTACACTGATATTATTATTGATGTATTCTTGATCATGTACTTTTCTGCTTGTATTTGGTCTCTTTTATTTTCGACTGTCATTTGTTCTTATTGTTCTAATTTTAATATTCGAGGAATAACTGAGAAAAAATGGGAAATCATTCGAGATTTATTTTGTGACAATTTCCTCAAAGAAAGAGATTTGGGTGCATCGATTGCAGTTTATCATCAAGGCAAATTAGTTGTTGATTTATCGGGTGGATGGTTTGATGAATCACGCAATAAACCCTATGATAATGATACATTACAACTTGTCTTCTCAACATCAAAAGGTGTCGTGGCTGCAACTGTTACTATTTATGTACAACGAGGTCTAATTGACTATTCAGAGTTCGTTACAACTTATTGGCCAGAATATGGGCAACATGGAAAGCAGAATACTACGGTAGCAGATATTCTTTCTCACCGTGTTGGATTACCAGACGATTGGGCAGTTGGCGAACGATATCTTAATTGGACGGCGATGGTGCATTCATTAGAGCAACAGACACCAATAAAGCCTCCGGGAACAGCCTCTCGTTATCAACCTTATACATATGGTTGGTTAGCTGGGGAACTTGTACGACGCGTTGATCCTCAAAAGAGAACTTTTGGTCAGATTATTCAAGACGAAATAGCAAATAGACTAGATATTGAATTTTATATCGGTCTACCATCAGAACAACAATATCGTGTATCACCACACGTTCTAGATCGAAACGCAATAACGACACCGAGTTGGTTAGTATTAATACCATTTCACTTTTTCAATGAACATCGAACACATCGATCAGAAATACCAGCTGTAAATGGAATTACCAATGCTCGATCAGTTGCAAGACTCTATGCATCACTCATTGGTGACATTGAAGATGGAAAACACAAACGATTAATCAATGAGAAAATTATGCAGCGAGCAACAAGACAGAACACACCTCAAGATGAGATTGACGTGAACCTATTTCCTATTCCGTTTGGCATGGGTTTCATGCTTTACGATCAAATGTTTCCATCATTGGGTCCAGGAACATTTGGCCATCAAGGTAATGCTAGATTTGAATGTCAGGACTTTATTCCTTTGTTTTTTGTAGGAGCTGGTGGCAGTATTGGTTTCGTTTCTCCTGCAAAAAATCTTTCTTTTGCCTATGTTATGAATAAATTCAATTCAGAATCAACACCCAATACTGACTTCCGAATAAAGATGATATTAGAAAAGATTGCGACCATCGTCAATTCAAATGATTAACATCATTGTAGATGTCCATTCGATCTATGAAAGAAATAAAATATATTCTTTTTGTACAATAATAGGCAAATTATTTGACATCATCACAAACAATTCATCTGAAACAAAACTAAGAAAAAATAATCAATTTTTCCGTATTCTCAAAATCTTATGAAATGAAAGCACACTAATAGTATTCTGATGAGTTAATTTCGATAAATTAAGATCTTATCTATTTTGTGAACAAATAGTGTGAACATTTTTTAAATCTTATGATGCTATCTTGAACGAAAGAGATAATTCAGCTGAGCTTATGCATAATATTAAAACAATCTCTTTCCATAAAAATTTTATTTAAATTCAAATAGCTTTGTTATTTTCAAATCTCATTCTGATTGACAAAAGAAACACAATAAGTGTTGTAAATCGATATTAAATTAGAGAACAATATTTTCTGACACTGTGAGCAAATGATATTTTTTCTCTTTTCGAAATAATGATTTTTCTAAAGAATTTTATTTTCACATATTTTATGGTTATTGATATTGAGCATGTTATCACTATGATAATATAATATAATGTAGTTGACTTAGCACTAGCCTTGAGTATCTTCACACCATAAAAATTACAATAAAAAAATTACAAGGGTGCAATCTTGAACAGTGACTATGTTTGATATATGATAAAGCATGATGATTTTTCTCATATTCCTTATCTCTAATAAATTATGAAACTATCTCATGGCATTGAGGTAATTTTTGAAAAAATTCTCGATGGTACACCTTTTAAGTAACAGTGAACAAATCGCGACATTGTTGAAAGGAAGCATGAGCTCGTTAATAAATTTTCAAAAATGCTTTGAATATTTTCACTATAGTTGGTAAAATGAATCTCTTGTTGCTTGCTACCCGATGAAGAATGTAATAGTTCAAGGTATCTATCATCCATAGTATATAGTATCAAAGTGAGAGGAGATTATTTTTCATTATTCTATAACAAGGCATCAGTCATTAGTAAACTAAACATTATTTACTTACTGGTGGGATGGAACATTTTATATTAATTTAAAAACTAGACTTAAATTTATTACTTAGCAATTAATATTCGGTATTAATGGATATACTCAATGAGTAATATTAATATGCAAGTTTTCTTTTATTCAAAGCTTAATTTCTTGATGTTGAATGATAAAATAGTCTACTTGAAAGAAGTACTGTAGTGTGTTGACTTTTTTTTAATCGAGATACTGGTAAGAAATCGAGTTTTTTACTTTTTTTTAAAATCTACGTCTGAAAGATCATCATCTATACGAGGAAATCCAAATTTTTGAAGAGTTCACCCTTTCTACACTTGAGTTCGTTGAAAGGATGTCGGTTTGTATAATTGAAAATTTTCGACAAACAAAAAGAAAACATGGTTCATAAATATCCAGTAAGAATGAAGCTTATGCTTATACACAACAGGTTTGTTGAAATATCCTTATTATTGACAATATTGTTCAAACATAATAGGCTGTGTCTGTGAAAAGGCGTTGTGATTTCTATTCTTATATCTATTTCATCACTTTGTTCATAATAAGTATCCAAATAGAAACATTTTAAAATGTATTGAACATATTTTGTCACTAAAATAATATACTCATGATAGATTGTTCGCACAAATAGTAGCTATACACTTAGTCATTGAAAGAGTTTTTCTTCGTATTCAATACAATTCATTTATGCTATTATCTTCAACAATTTAGGAGAAGAGACAAAATTGAAACATGAACATTGACTTATAGTATAAATATTCATATTGCAAATAAATGCTGGTAGACTTTGAAATTTTTTCTGTGAACAAGTAGACCTTTTCGCACAGTAGAAGACTTCAAGTTCTTTATTCTGTCTTCCATATTTTTATAATTATCTACAAAAAATATTTTCCAAAATTCATAAATAGTTTCTTGAGACTTAAAATTTTTCGAAAGCTCAAATAACTTAGTGGATCTTCTATTAGTTCCAATGCATCGTTCCTTCAGTGAAGTCTTCTAATATGCAATGGTCTTCTATTGTAGAAAGAAATTCTGTAGATGTATATAAAAATAATAGTCATGTACTATTAGCATTTCTAGCCACGATTTACGAAAAATAACACTTTTTTTCGATCTTGATCCTTTCTACCTAGTGTAAACTTTGTCATTGTCAATCGAATATTACACCGTCGTGGAGGACAAAATTTCATAACTATATCAACTTGAGGCTATTTCGAAAGTATTCTCAATAAGGCAACATGTGATATCAAATCAAATACAATAGAAAAAGAGTCTGATTGAAAATTTTGTCTTCATATTTTATTTAGAGAGTATTCAAAGAAGAGTATAATCGAAGCATATTTGTCACCACTCTTCTTTACTGCTTAATTTTGTTTTTTAAAACTCAGTTGTAGATTCTTTAGATATTCTACAATTTTTGGTTATTTTTTTCTACTTCAACAAGATTATCTTTTAAATATGTATAAGTCTTTAAATAATTTTAATTATATGCAAGTCAAGTCTGTCCAACATCATCAAAGAGTAAAACTGCCCATGTTAAATGATTACCAACAAAGTATGAACCACCATCACCATATAATTTGCCTAAAACCTCAACATTTTACAAGTATGTCGATAATTCGTCGATGAAAAATTTTTTCATGACTTCATTTCGTTTCGTTTGATCTAATACCCAACGACTTACTACATATCTTGTCATTCAATCATTAATTGTATCAGCTACTGCATCAACTTTAGCTTGTTCAACATTATTTCTACTAGCTAATTGAAATTGTTTAGTTGACATAAAAAGAAAAAGAAATATTGATAATCTTATTCAAGTCATCTTGACATTTATTATCATTGTGATCAGAAATATATTCGATTAATCATCATTAATTCATAACAGTAAACTAAGTCGAGAAAGTATTGATCTGTTGCTTACGAGAGAACATTCCCAGGTGCCGGAGAGCTTTTGAGTCTGGACTTTGCGCATTTTATAGCCCTTAGTGAGCTGTGGCTATGGTAAAAAAAATTCGGGTTTCTGTCTTGTTTCTGGGGAGATGTCGAGTTTCTAGTGATTTTTTCTTATAGCACCCCACTTCTGCAGCAAAATTTTGTTTTTGAATTTTGACCTGAAACTTTGCCTACATAAAGGCCTCAGCTAGACTAGCTTGCATAAAAAATTTCAGAAGTTTTGGACAAAGTCTTTCCAAGATACGAAGATTTGAAAAAATGTATACTATATATACTATCTATGAAAAAGAGACTGTACCTTGATAGTTTCATAGCTCGGAGAAACTTTGTCCAAGACTTCTGAAATTTTTTTGTACAAGCTAGTCTAGCTGAGGCCTTTATGTGGGCAAAGTTTCAGGTCAAAATTCAAAAATATAGTTTTGCTGCAAAAGTGGGGTGCTACAGGAAAAAATCACTAGAAACTCGATATCTTCCCAGAAACAAGAGAGAAACTTGATTTTTTCTTACCATAGACACAGCTCACTAAGGGCTATAAAATGTGCAAAGTCCCGACTCAAAAGCTCTTCGGCACCTGGGAATGTTTCCTTGTTAGCATCTGTTCATCTTAGTTACTTATGTTTGAAAAGTTTATACGTGACAAAACATATGAAGAAAGAATATCAATTCAGCATTTGTTGAATGAAAGACATGCCTCTATTTAGCGCAACAAATTTAGTTGTTTCTTTACAATACTCTCATCATCTGTTCTTTTTGTTATATCAATATAAGTGAGGTTTTGATAAAACTAAACACGTTTACATTAAATCATTTGCTGCTGATGTGACGATCAAACAAATTTTTCGAAATGATGAGAAAACACCGATCGAAGCAGTCTATTGTTTTTCAATAGAAGAACAAGCAACAATTTACTCATTTGGTGCTCGAATTGATGATTGAGAAATCGTTGCACAGGTGGAATATAGTAACGCCCTTCAATACGGTCATGGCGCATATTTTCTTGAACAAGATGAGAAATCACAAGATAATTTTATTATCAATGTTGGTACATTACCAGTCGATAAAGAATGTCACATTTCTATATGGTGTGGGTGGGGGTGGGGGTGTAGGTGTGGGTGTGGGTGTGGGTGGGTGTGGGGTGTGGGTGTGGCTGGTGGCTACGTGTGGGTGTGAGTGTGGGGTGTGGGTGTGAGTGTGGGGTGTGGGTGGGTGTGGGGTGTGGGTGTGGGTGTGGGTGGGTATGGGTGGGTGTGGGTGTGGGTGTGGGTGTGAGTTATTTGTTCACCCAAACCCACACTCACACCCGCACCCAAACCCATACCCGCACCCACACCCATACCCACACCCACACCCAAATGGAGAAGACGAAAAATATTGTCAACTATTGGAAATGAGTGAGTGTCTCAATGATACATATCGATGCCATTATGGTGGACAATGCATTCCATTGACATTTGTACAAGATGGACCTACAAGTGCAGATTGTCTTGACGGTACGGATGAGATAGAATTATATGAAGAAGAGCTTTACCGTTCTAAAAGTGCTTGCTATACTTTTCCAACATTTTGTTGTGAAGAACATACTGGCCGACACCGTCGCTCTTTTCCATGTGGTGATGGACAATATGCTCTTTCTGATATTGGAAGTTTATCTGCTCAACGTTTTTGTGCCAATGGTCGAGATATGCTGGTGGCATCGTATCGAGTAAGACCTTTTCCTGATATATTCGACTCGCTTGTCGATCAAATTGCCTACTCCACATTGGTCTCGAACATAGACATTCTAAAACAACTATTAACTAATTCAATATCGACATATATGTTAATCCCTTGTGAATCTATAGGAAAAAAATGTTTAACAAATTGGCTTTTTAAAGTTGAAGTATACTATGCTTATTCAAAGTTTCACTATATTTATTTACCTAATCGATTATTCATAGATTTTGCTTTATTTATTAATCCTGATTTTATTTGTTTCAATCCTAAAGATTGTCCCGCACTGACGAACTGTGTCAGAGATATCGATCTAAAAAATGGACTCGTTTGTTGCCCTACTAGGGCATTATCTAACGAATCATTTACTGATGGCTTTGAAGTCAAACTTGCTATTGAAAAATTGTTTTTTCGTTGCTCGACGACTGATATAGAACAATCATGTTCACATTCATCGCTTTTTCATTGTCCACTTTCATTGAAATGTATTTCAAAATATTGTCTTGTTGATGGGATTCTTGATTGTTATTTTGAAGAAGACGAAGCATTTCCTACTTGTCAATTAAACGACTCAAAACGATTTATTTGTAAATCTGAACAGAGCAAATGTTTATCGCCAATAGCAGTACAAGACGGAAAGGATGATAGTCAAAATAAAGAAGATGAAATGACTGAAAATCAACATAATACTTTAATAGGAGATGTTCCATTTGGCTTGATATGTGATGGAAAAACTCATCCGTTATTATCAAAATCGAATGAAACCGATGAAACAAATTGTTAGTATTGGCCATGTAATAGTCCTTATGTTCGATGTGATCGTTTTCAAAATTGTGCCAATGGTACCGATGAACATAATTGTCCCAAATTAAAATGTATATGGAATGATATTCAATGTTCGAAAACGCTATTGACAAACTTGTTCTGTTTTCCATTAATGATTTTAATGGAAAAATATTTAGATTGTGAAATTTATTACACTGAACATGAAATCACTTTTAATACGACAAATAACAACGATACCTCACAATGTTTCTCGTACAATTCTTCATGTAGTTCTTTAGAGGAACTCTGTGTCTATCAATCGTCAGTAATGCTACTTTATAATATCTGTATACATAAGAGAATATCCTGCTCGCAAATAATGACATATTGGCGTTTATTAATTAAAACCAATATTTGCCCTTTTTTCCCAAAAAATGTACGCAAAATAGAATTCGACAAGTCTTTTTTAATATCATTCCAATTAGGATATTTTCCAGCAAATCAAACTGCCTTACCGAATCGAAATGACTCCAAAGTTAAAAAAGGATCAACTATCAATTTAGATATGATCGGAAAAAGAGATTGGGATTGTAATCGAAGAATTTTCATCCTTTTTAATGATAATAAAACTAATAAATGTTTGTGTCCACCTAGTTACTTCGGTGATCGATGTCAGTGGCAAAACCAACGAATAAGTTTAACACTTCAATTAGTACATCGTGCTGAAACTTATACTATTGCAATATTTCAAGTTATTATTATGCTTATCGATGAACGAAGACAGATCACATCATACCATGAACAAATAACATATGTACCAAAACGTGATTGTGGCACAAAATTTAATATTTATTTACTTTATCCAAATCAACCAAAGAATTATTTTACTAACTACTCACTAATATTGATATATTTGATAAAATATCATTAACCTATTTAGCAAGTTGGCATTTACCTATTCCATTTCAGTTTCTGCCTGTTAATCGAATTTCTACTGAAATATTTATTCAAAACACAAACATGATTTCAAAATCATGTCCTTTATATTGTGGTGACCATGGTCATTGTGTAGAATATATAAATCATAAATTTTTATATTTTTGTCAATGTGATGAAGGATATTCTGGTTCTCAATGTAATATTAAACATAATTGTTCATGTTCACCTGATTCATATTGTCTTACATCATCTATTTGTGTTTGTCCAATGAATAAATTTGGTTCGAAATGTTATTTAAAAAGTTCAATTTGCCAAACATCTAATAATCCTTGTCAAACAATGGACTCTGTATACCTGTTGATGATCGCATGAGTTTAAACAAATCTACATGTTTATGTACAGAAAGCGTCTATGGAACACGATGTGAGAATATTAAAAATCAAATTGATATTGAATTTGATGATGACAAAATTGGTATGATGCCATTTGTATTTATACATTTTATTACTGCAATTGAAAATGATGATCATCAGCGTACGACAATTTTAAAAAAGATCAATTTTGATCAGAATATAATTACAGTTTTTATAACACATTCATTTCATGTTCTCTTTATTGAATTAACAAATCGAACTTACTATTTAGGTGTATTAAGAGAGAAATTTATCGAGTCCGAACATATTCAAACAAGAATATTATCGAATTATCGATGCTGGTCTATAAGTGAATTGATGAATAATACTTTTCTAAATTATTCATTTGTTCATCGTGCTAAATATTATCGTTACTTGTGTCGACAACAAAAACAACTTATATGCTTTTATGATAACAGATATATGTGTATATGTGATGTTACTCGTTTTTCTAATTGTTTTACATTTAGTCATACTCTATTCTATGATTGTCAAGGAGAAAATGTTTGTGAAAATGGTGGTCTATGTTTTCAAGACAATGCTAGTTGTCCTATTCTATCAATATGCGCATGTCCTGAATGTTATTATGGTGCAAAATGTCAGTTTTCTACAAGAGGTTTTGTATTATCTCTTGATTATATTCTTGGTTATCATATTAAACCAAATGTTTTATTCCATCGACAGCCATTCGTGATTAAAATCAGTCTAATTATTATAGTACTGATGTTCATTTTCGGATTAATCAATGGAATTTTGTCTGTAGCAATATTTTGTAGAGAGAGCATTCGACAAACTGGCTGTAGTTTATATCTTTTGGCGTCATCATGTAACTCTTTGGTTCTAACCATTGTGTTAGTAATCAAGTTTTGTCAGTTGGTTTTATCACAAACTGGCGTTCTTACTAATCGATCATATCTAACATTGAATTGTATATTATTAGATATGATTCTCAAAGTTCTTGTTGCATCAAATGATTGGCTTTATGGATGTGTTGCTCTTGAACGAGTAATTACTGTTATTAACAGTGTCAAATTCAATCAAATTAAAAGTAAACAAATGGCTAAATGGATAATTTTATGTGTATTTCTTCTGACAATCATCACTCATATTCATGATCCAATTCATCGTCGTTTAATTAATGATTCTGATGGTGATGAACAACGATTGTGGTGTTTAGTTCGATACTCTTCTTCAGTTAATATCTTTAATATATTCATTACTTTTTTTCATTTTCTTATTCCTTTCTCAATCAATTTAATTTCAACCATAACTATTATCATATCAATAGCTCGTTCTCGTTCTAAAGTTCGACCCAGAACACCATTCACACAACATTTACGACAACAGTTACAACAACACAAACATCATCTATTTGCATCATGTGCATTAATATTATTAAGTATACCCCGTTTAATTATTTCATTGATTCGTGGATGTATGAAATCACTACGAGATCCATGGTTGTACATTTTTGGTTATTTAATTTCTTTTATTCCATCTATGATGACAATTATTGTCTTTGTATTACCAGTGAAAAAATACAAAGATGAATTTACTACAGTTATTTAACAGATTACTCTTCAACAATTTCGTCGTAATTTGAATGCACGACGATCGTAAGAATATTTGTAGACTAAATAAACATATTTCGACTATGAATTTATATTCACCATATGATAATTGCTTATGTTTAAAGTATTTTCATTTTATTTAAATAAAACTAAATTTAATAATTATCAGTGTCCTTTCTAAGACCTGTCAGTGCGATCCTTGTGAATTTAATATGTGAAATGTGATTTGGCTGTTATTGCTCATCAGAGGGAGATGATTTTATTCTATCGATTATGAACATATTTTTTCATTATGATTTTTTGCTTAATTTAGTTCAGATATTATAAGAAAACGTTATTGATATACAATCGTAGATAGCATATCAATAACGCCTAACATGATTTGTGATGCTGCTGTAATTATGTCTGTCAAGATCTGTGTGAGAAAGCTTAAATGTACATATTAACTCTTGAGCATCAACACTCGTTTTAAAACGTTTTTCACAAAACATAGTAAAAAAGAGTCTAATATTCAAGAAAATTTTTTTCATGAGAATATAGTGTTTGAAATAGCACAGAATATGATTTAGTTTATTTCACCACTATAGCCTTCTCCAAACTTTTTTTGATTGAATGTAATCGTACATTAAAAGTAAGTAAAATATTTAAAATTATTTGTGTTAGCTGTTTTTGGCAGCAGCTTTTATTTTGTTGATCAATGTTGCCATTGCTCTTGTATGGTTTCAATTCATAGTTTTAGCTAAGTTATCCAATGAATTGGGTAGGTGCAAGTGTGTTTTTGACTCTTCTTTTCACCCGAATAGAC